AGGGAAAGAAGATGATGCTGGTACTCATGATGTCATCTACATGCAGTATTTCAGTAGGTGCTATGAAGTAAAAGTATGGTGTTTGTTGGAAAAGTTTTATCTCCAAAAATGGTTCAGTCCTGTTCTTCTGTATACTTTGGTGAAATAAAAAAAATAGTCTGGATGTGTAGAAGCAAACAAAGAGGAAAGATCTGTAGATAGTCATTCTGGCCAATGTGTATTTAGAGTAAAAGGCATTTAACGTAAACACCTGGTTGCTAATGTTAAAGGTTAAAATTCAGACCACCATCTGCTACAGTGTGAACATTCCACTGCTCTGAAGTGGCCCGCATGCACATGAGACGTGATGCCACACGTTGCGTTCGGCGAAGTAAATTGGAATGATACACATGGATGCATGTGTGTTTAAATTTAATTTAAATTTAAATCGAATTTTTGAATAAAGAGTGTGTTCAAAATGCACCATAACATGTCATGAATAAATGAAAAAGCAGAACCTCTCAGTACTGATAAAGATGGACACATACACAGAGGATTTCAACAGCAGCCCCATAGTTCAATCAGGTCTGCTATACAAAATCCTTTTGACAGGAAAATATTGGTAACAAATTACAAATAAAACAGCTTAGCCCAGACCACTTGGACATTAAAAATCAGCCAGCAATCCAGAGAAAAAGGTAAAGGGCGGCTAGCGGGATGCAGTCACGTAAATGGGGTATTTTGCTTCGTATGTTTACATTTTAACACGTCGGGGTCAGATATGATATAGATTGTTACAGGAGTGAGGGAGATGAAGCTTATCTAAGATAAAGATAAAAAAAGCATGGGGAACACAGTAAAGGGTGCCATGATAGGCAGAGCCAAAATTGCTACGCACCTGGACAAGGTGCAATGAAGAGGTCGATGAGAATAATGTATTGTAGATAGTCTACACTCTGTTCTGGTGGTGTGCCTCTTGCGTTGCCTATTTTTCTACTAACGCATCCTTTCAGCTGTGCATGTCCACCATTAGGGGGTGTAACCTTTTGACTGTTACACCAGTGACCCCTTGAGTCAACAGCCTTATGCAAAAATGTGTTAATATGACTAAGTAATTTGTTTATATTTCAGTTTCAAATGCAAAACTTGTGTTTGTTGATTGTGCCGTTTATGTTTTCGTGTAAGAATTCCTCGACTTTTTAATAGTTTTTTTTTTTAATAATTTAGTAACATTTCTCTCCTATTTGCTAGCTCTAAAACAGATTCTCAGTTGCCTCACCTCATCGTCGTGAACCAGCTCCTTCTTCACCACCTTCATGGCGTACATCTGGTCATCCTTCTTTAGCCGTACCAGCAGAACTTTGGCGTAGCTGCCACGCCCAATCACTCGGACCAGGTCAAAGTCATTCAGGCTCAGAGCCAGGCCCTGAGAAAGCTTGATGTCATCGATGCCGTCTACGACTGTCTTGATGTCCTCCTGCAGGAAGAAGACATGGAAAATGACTGATTATTATTTATGTCTATGTTTATGATTATTTTTTATTTTTTATGTTCAAACCCTTAAAATGTCTGAATAATGACTTCTTACCTCTGGATCAGCATCTTCTGTTTTATCCACTGTACAGTTGTGTGGTATTAATGGTACTGGACATGAACACAGATAAACAAGAGACGATTAATTCATATTTTATATGTTTAGGGCTGTACTTCTTGTGACTTTCTCTGACCAGCAGAGAGAGGCATAAATCAGAAAATAGGGTCTCACATCAACCAAGTTACTGACCTATTTACATTTTATAAAATCTGACTTCAAAGAGGAAAGTATGGGGGGGAGCAAGGGGGGTTTAAAGACTTACTGCCATCTTTGTCCTCGGTGTCGTCCGGTGGAAGATCCACTTCCTCACTCTTGGCATCTGCAGGAGGCTCCTGTGATGGCATGACTGGATCCTGAAGAAAGAAGTGACACGGGCCACCTAAATATCGGTCAAACTGATAATATATGTGCTTCTTTGGTTGAGCAGATTAAACATGTTTGAATGCACTGCAGAAAAATTCGAGCTTAGAAAGACGCCTTAAGATTGTACAAAAAGTACTTTACAGTTCAATACAGTTGCTGCAGCTATGATCACAGGAGGCTGCTCTCAGAGACTTGGCTCACAATCTCAGGAATTTTTCACTTGACCACTTTGATTTTCTTGTCAAAAGTGATTTTGGATCTTTGCAGACAAATGGAGCAATTAGACAGAGTCTATCGATTTGCTGTCAAAAATAAAAAGCCTGACATTTTGGATGTAAACCTACATTAAATGATGAGTAAATACATTAGTTGGGGTTTTTTTTACAACATGCAGTAAATCCAAACTGGTTTTAATCGGTAGTGTAGAAGGAGGGGCAGTTGTCATGACAATAAACGGTCATTTTGACCGCAGTCAAGTGCAAAAATACCATAAAAATAAACAGAAATAAGAGAAAGAATAAGAAAAAACTAGGAAGTTGCTCTACTTTCACAGATGCTGAGGAGGATAATCATCACTCAGAGTCCATGATGTGGGCTAAAATATAGGGAATATTCTAAAGCTGAAACACAGACCCCTTGGGCATCACAATCATAAAAATATATACAACACATTTTACTAGTTTTCTTTTTTCGTCTTGATCCACAGCTGAAAGAATAACATGTTTGTCAGACACTTTCTTATCCAAGGACCTCAGACTACAATATATCCTTGTATTTATCCTCTCATTAAAAGTGAATACGTCAACAGGTTTCTTCTTTGTTTCTCTCAGAACATAAAAACACTCACCATAAGCTTTTGGCAGGTCTGAGAGATGAGTTTGTGACAGCGCTTATGGACCAGCAGTTTGCAGTTGATACAGTTGTAGCCCTGCCTCAGACCCCATATCGTTTCAGCACAGTGGCCACAGTCGGCTGTCTGGAAGAGAACACACGTTGTTGTTGTTGTCATTATTCATTAAAAAAACTTTACCATTTACATGCAATAGTCACATATGAATCCAACTACAAAAAAGATAAAACACACTCGAAGAAAGTCACGACCAAATGTCTTCACAAATGCAGCATATCAGATCAGAATCGAGAGTTTGAATTCATACTTTTATTCTTCTCACTGTGTTTTATTATCTTCGTGTGATCTTCACAGATAACGAACTGAACCAACACAACACAGGCTACGTTCCTTCAGCCGGACTTTACTTTAAAGCCAATTCCACTTTGGATTTAGCAACTTCACAGACTTCAAAGGAGTAAATGATGCAAGACAAAATTCAGAAGGGGACACTCAGCACGAAGCAGCAGCCAATCAAAACTAAAAGACTGAAAAACTATTTTGACATCACAAATTTGTGGCGACCCCAGAGACATTTTAGTAGCTGCAAATTTATATATTTGTTTTATATTTATTTATTCCATCCATCCATCCATCCATCCATTTTCAACCGCTTATCCGTTACCGGGCCGCGGGGGCAGCAGTCGCCACCCAAATCACATTGCACCGTACCAACCCCCCCCAAACCTTCCTGCGGGTGGGGAGTCCACTGGAAGGTACCAACCGCCATTTATTTATTCATTTTTACATAACACAGTCTCCAGAAAGTTTTAGTTTTTTTTCTTTGCCTTTTCTTTTTCGGTTCTTTGTGGTGAGAGAGAGAGAGAGAGAGAGAGCTTCGACAAATTAACAGTATTGCTGTTCCACATGCTGATGGTGTTAAGAACAAAGAGTCCTCGTTAGGCCTCTGTTGCCATGGTAATACAGCAAGACTTCCAAAGATTTCCTCAGTCTTTTTATTCTGTCTGTACAGAGAGGTTAAAGCCTACATTTATAATCCAATCACTATTCAGTCTCCCTCCATTTGCTACAACGCAAATAGATCCAGGATAATGTCACCAACGTGTAATGAAAATTTCACCATTTGATGCTGTCACGTTATTTAATTTAATTTTATTAATATTGTTTTTCCCAGTTTGTCAAATACTGTGACTTCACTAGGGGGCAGTGTTTCGGTGCCTCCAGAGTTGCATCCAATTTGCATATTTTACCATCAAGAGTTCCCTGACTTTTTCCAGGGAACTCACAGGGATGTCCAGGTCAACGGACTAGAGCTGTTACTTTTCTTTCAACAGAAAGGGAAACAGAAATGTAACAGTGATTATTGAATGTAAGGAGCACTCTGATTGGCTGACGGTGTGGCCCATAAGGCACAGTAAATCAACAGTGTTAAGAGGTCGGACAGATATTGTTATTTGGCCAAAATGTGATTGAGGCAGTTGTGTTAGGTCAGTTCAAATCCTGCTATGTTTTTGGCTAAAGCAAAAATGTTGTTGAAGCTTTTGGTCAATTATTGGTTCATTCAATGGTAATTCTAGAAGATGTACATTGTGTTATTTTCTAAACTAAGTCACGGTTAGTTTGTTTTTGATAGCTTAAATCGATGTTATTGAAATCACATTTTGGGAAGTTCACAGTCTCCTTACTGTCGAAGTAATACATCCATTTAAAATGTTCTAATTTAAAGGCAAAATTTTAAAACATGAGGAACAATGACAGGTGGATACTGATTCAGAAGTTGGCATCAGTTTTGATTTTTATTTTAGTTTTCATGGCTAATCTAGGAATTGAGTATTCATTTTCCCAATTACTAACATACATTTGGTATATCCTTCTAAAATATTTGTACATTCATTGTCTCAACAGTACCTAATCATCATGGATCATCATTAAATAGACAAAATGCAATTTCATCAGCGGTGTCCTCCTGCTGTTACAGACACGTACAAGCTGCTGTTCAGCACCAGAAGTAAAAGGTCTCTCTCTCTCTCTATCTCTCTCTCTGAACTGACTGTTCTTTTCTACAGTCTGGACATCCACTGTGGTTTGACAGAAGGGATGAAACACAAGTGGGTTTGTGAACAACCACTTCACAGGCCGTGGTGGGAAAATAACCCACAATGTATTATGTACTTCACTTCGTACTATGAGAGACCAGTTTCCGCCATCTTTTCTTTAAAGAACAGGTGAATTCTGCCTCATCATGTGGTAGAGAGGATCTGAGGAGACCCCATTAAGTCTAATGAGCAGGACCAAGAAAGCAGCAACATCAAAGAGATGGAGTGGGACCAGAGGAGGGGGAGAAACCTGACCTACTTCTTTAAGCTTATTTATATGCTAAGCACAACGCAGTGAGTCAGTCAGAATCTTCAGAGCTGGCAGTCAGTGAAAAGTCAGTCTGAAAAACAACGGCTCAACCAGACAAACACCGACAGATAAGACGTAAAAGCCAGTTAATACAGCATCTCATCACCAGCTAATCTGATGACACATTCTCAAGTCAAGACCATAACAGTTGTCTTAGTGAAGCTGCACTTTTCCAAATAACAAAGTAGCCAAGAGGTAAGTTATGAAGATACATGGTTCCTAATTCTGCGTCATGGTTTTTTGGTAGATGAATTCACAGCCAGTAACCAAAAGCCAAAAATAAGAATATAATTTAAAATCTGGGTAAATGTGGCCATAATATATAAAACAAAAAATGGCAGAATAATGACAAAACCCAACTAAATTTGATGTGAAGAACAACGCATATTTGGACAGATCACAAATAAAAACTAAATTAAAACATTGTTTTTACAAAACTGTAAAATGCCTAAACATTGAGACAAAAATAAAACAGTGGTGTTTAAGTTTTTCATATATGTTGCTATTATTAATAATAATGTAGACCTATGACTCTTAATTGACCACGTCAGCAACAATGACCACATCATGGAGAAGCTAGAGTGCTGAGTCATCAGCACACCACTGCAGTGTAGAAAAAATATGACAGATGCTTCACTGTAACCACAAAAAAATCCATAATGTAATCTGAGTGTTTTTATCTTCAAAACTTTTGTGTCAGTGCGTACAGAGCAGTGAGACTGACGCCTGTCCTCCACAGTCTACAGACCAGATTACCAACTATTACCAACTAGCTCAGGCATGGGCAAACTAAGGACCGGGGGCCGGATGCAGCCCGTTAAGCTTTTTCATCCGGCCCTTTAAACTTTTCTAAATTATATTATTTATATTATCCTTTTACTTCTGCCTTTTCCAGCAATATCCATGTTTCCTCAAAGGTGATGTAGAAAATTATGGAAGCATTTTAGCCTTTATGAATGACTTTTACATATCATTTATCTTAGTTCACTGACCCGGCTCGCCTGACCTAGCTGAATTAACTAACACATTAGACTCTATGACAGGGCTAAAATAAAATGAATTCTCAAAAGGTCAAAACAAACAAAGCAGTTGAAAAATATGACGTGACACCACAATATCTTTCAGCCACAGCTATTGCCTGGACATCCAGTAGGTAAAGCAGAGAGAGAAGCAGATCTTGTTTCACTCTCTTACCCTCACAGAGGAAATACATTAGAGACATTAGACCTGTCTGAAACAGCATTAATGTCTTTTATCATCTGCCCTCTACTTTGGCCTTGGTTCGGAATGAGATACAAATGCTTTAAGGGATCAGTGCTTGGACAGGGCAGGGTGAGCAGGTGCAGCAGGTAGACAATTAAAACCCACATTGTTCATTCAGCTACTTGGCTACAAATGTGTGTATGTGCATGTGTGTGCAATTCAATAATGGTGGTATGGAGTTGGGATGAGAACTAGGGTCGGATTAGAATACGAATTAGGAATAGGCATATACATATGTTATACTTTAGGTTTGGGTAAGGTGCTAGGAGATGCACTCAGTCCATGTGAAGTACTCACAGAAATCTGGCGTGTGTGTTTATGTGCACAGGCACATGTGTGGACTCACTGCTAAAGAAGCCATAACTAGGACACAATGAATTATTAATCAACATCCAGACAGCTCAGCTGCAGCAGTGGTTTACATGTCACGCACTGCACACTGTTATTGCAGTGTGAGCAGGACAGACTGGTCTGGATGCTTCACACTCATGGATGACTGGATATTAACAAATGATCAACCTTGTACCAACTGCATTAATCGTGGGCGGAGGAAATGGCAGCAATCTGTTAAAGTGATTTCGAGGACTTTTGTTTTAGCTTACATGCTAATAGCAAAGCAACTCTTACTGACTTGGACTGAATCATTTACATCAGAGGTGCCCAATACGTAGATCTGGATCTATCAGTAGATCGCCAAGGGAATACTGGTAGATTATGAGCAATTAAAATAAAAATAATATAATTGTTGAATTATATTGTGCCATATGGCTACAGCTATTAAATCAACATATCATGTATATATATATTTGTATATATTTTTTAAGTGAATTATTGTGAATTATTATTAACTATTGTTGTCATTGTGACACAGCACACCACTGCACACAGAAACAAATGTGACCTCTGCTTTTAACCCATCACCAATGTGAACAGTAGGCAGCTTTAAGTGCCCAGGGAGAAGTCAGTTCATATTAGTAAATATATATTTAATATTGTCAATGTAGGTAGATCACTTTGGTCAGGTCAAGTGGAACGTAGCTCCCAATCAAACAAAGTGTGAACACCGCTGATTTACATAACTGATACCTGTGATAGTCTGAGGCAAACAGAAATGAAGTGAAACACATTTTATCCCATACAAAGCTACTGTTATTTCTCTAAGGTGGTGTTAAAAAATTGCGGTTAAACTAAAACTTTGACCTAACAAGTACACCAACCTTCATCTACTACAATTAAAACACAGACTCACTGGTAGCTAACCAGATGATGCCCATTGTTCAACAACTCTTTAGTCGTTAATATACACACTTTTGGACTTTTTGATAATGTGATGGTATACATTTCACCAGCTCATAAAACTAAACAAACTGACTAAAACAAAAGTGTACCACAGCCGTCAACATTAGCATCAAATTAAACCCCATCATCACTTGGACATCCTGTGTTTATCCTGTGTTTACTCTGCAGTGACTCAGCACTCTTTTGTGTGTGTGTGCGTGCGTGTGTGTGTGATCACTGACGTTTTGGTAAAACATTAAAACATTAAAGACACTTACCCTGTTAAAGTACTTGGCCTGGAAGAGGTGTCCGTTGACCCGATAGAGTTTCCTCCATCTTCTGGCTCCTCGGCGATAGATTGACTCTAGAATAGACAGAAAACGACAGTAAAGGAACAGCATGGTGATGAAGAAGGACCGACGGAGGTGAGCTTTCAGGGAGAGTGGAGGGAAGGATGAAAGTGAAGACTGTGGAGTGAAGTTCAAGTACTGTAGGAGAAATATAACACACACACACACACACACACTAAGGAGTATTTGGCCCCACCTCTCACCCTTTCTCCCTCATTCCTGTTTCATCTTCCTCCTCTTCTTCCTCAAACTTTTTCTCTCTCTACTGTTATTGTACACTACAACTAATAGAACTGCTGCTGTTTATAACACGACTACGTTGTCAGTCAGGGGTAGAAGTAAAGTTATAGTTTATTTACTTGATGAAAAAGGAGGAGAACTTTCAAACGATCCCTTAATAATAGGTCACCACACCAGGTACATTTATTACACATTTTGGTATTTATGTTATGTTTTATATTTTTAAATATAATAATAAATAATATAATAATAATTATTATAAAATAATAAGTATTATTATTTATTAATTTTAATTGTTATTGTTTGTTTTGTTTTGTTATGTTATGTTTTGGTTTATTTATTTATTCTCTACAATGAATCATTTTGGCTTGATTTTGAGTAAATATGCTTAGTGTGGTTCTGACTCACATGTACCATGGAACACAGTGTTTGATCAGATATCTAAAAGTCACTGCCTGTTCAATGTAATTAACTGGGTTTCTCTTGGTGACGGATGCTGCCTTTATTCATTCTTGCATCCTGTCACAGTGCTCAGTCCAGTCTCAGTTTTGTCGGATGGCTGTAGTGAGTGGTTTGGTCTAATCCTTTTACATCACGTCTTATTTTCATTCTGCGTCTTCAAGGGCCGGTCCTTTCACAGCAACAGCAAAATGAGATAGAACATTGAAGTGACAGGGAACAAGAAACGACACGACTTTAAGGGGATTATTTTGGACAGTCATTACGTTTCTATCAGCAGCGAGAAAAGTGGGCTTCAGGTCATTGAATCAGGAGGAGGCTAAAAAGAATAAAAAGATTTTAATAATATTTTTCATTGTTGTTGTTGTTGTTGTTGTTGTTGTTGTTGTTGTTGTTGTTGTTGTTGTTGTTGTTGTTGTTGTTGTTGTTGTTGTTGTTGTTGTTGTTGTTGTTGTTGTTGTTGTTGTTCATGTGTGTTCCATAGTGTAGCGGTGAGCATCCGTGCCTCAAAAGATGGATACAGCAGATTCTATTCTGTTGTCTATCCCAGCGAGACCTGGGTTCACTTCCCAGAAAAATCACATGCTTGACTGTTAACCCTCCTCTTTAAGTAGCTTTGTATAAAAGCATCTGATAAACGTAAATTATTATTATCAGGAAATATAAAATACTTCCTTTTGATGAACATGGTGTGAAAAAGAAATTACTTTTTCATTACAGGTCCACTTGTTATTAGCAGTATTAAAAACTTTGTTATGCTTGTTATCATTTTTATAAAATGTATCACATCAAAAACATATTGTCATTCCCTGTCATGGTTCTGTTGAAAATGTTGTATATACATCATTCAAAAGCAAAAGAAAGGCCACCTGGTGGTAGGGGGGGACTTTGATTATTAAATATGTTAATATCAGGAATTTGCAAATATATTATTAAGTGTGGAGAAATCCTAAATACTTCAGTATATTGAGCCATTAGGTATGTAAATATTGTAGTTCACATGTATGAACACCTACATTTGTTTTGATAAAATAAAAAGACTGTAAGACAAAGTATTAACTGAATTAGCAGAGTATCAATTCATTTCATATTTTCCCCTAATCCAATCCAATCTAATCTAATCTGATTGGTGGTTATAGTTATGGGTGTGTCAGCGGCGCCCTCCATCACCTATTTGTTTTTCTCCACTGTTGCCATGGGAGCCACAGCCCACCATACATCTGCTATTCTTAGATGTTTGAGCAGATGTCAGAATGACACCATCTGCCAAAAAAGTACTATTTAAAAAAAACAAAAACAAGTCTGGGAGCAGACTTTTCCAACAGATAATCAGTCTGAACAGTACTGTACAGGTATTTCTGTGTTCTGTCTCCTCAGCTACAGATGCAGACTTGATTGAAATCATTGAAATACTTTCACTGCTCATTTGTAGGTGATAGAGCTGTTAAAAGCACATTCTTTGCATTAAGTTTTCTAAACAAGTGTATGTATTTTTTATAATTAGTTTTAAACATAACAAAGTCATTACCAGCAGTTGATTACAGAAAGTCAGGCAATCAATCCTGATCCTGGTTGTTGTCAAGCATATTTATTTTATTCTGTTATATTGTATTTGTTATGATTTTTAGTAAGATTTGTTTAATGTTTAATTATTAATAAATTAATTTAATAAATGTAATTACTCTATTTTCACTACGTGTATTTTTTACTTTAATTAAATATTAAGAAAGTTATGGTTTTAGACAGTTGTCTAAAATATAAATGACTAGATAGATAGTTGATCCCAGGCTGGGAAATTCCAGATTTGAATAAATAGACAGCTGATGAGAGTGCTAAGTTTTATTTCTCTTTAAGAAAAAAATAACATGCAGACATCTGAGCACTGAGTAGAGGATTCTGGGCTGGCATTCATATCAAAGCAGAGACATCACTGAGAAATGCTGAACCCCTGCTCTACAGCACTGCATGCAGGAGCCTGTATTAAATACTTCAAACGGTCTGAGACTTTCTCAACCCAAGTCCATACCCACATACTTGAACTTTTATCCAAGCACTAAAGCTGAGCCTCAAACTTCAGATGCATCAAACAGCCCTGCTCAGAGTTAAACATGAGCTGTAACGGTCCTAACATAGTGTTGTACCACCATTCCAGCAACAATGGAGAATCCTGGCTGTTCAAAACAAAGCTAACTTTTATTACTAGTGTATTTTTCGGACCATAAGGCGCGCTGTCGATTTTTGAGAAAATGACAGGTTTTTAATTGCGCCCTATAGTGCGGAAAATACGGTAAACAAAAATGAAGCATTCTTCCAAACGCAATATTATATATTTTACAATGTGAAGCATCACAAGTCGTGAAGAAGCTGAGCCGAATTGCCCGATTCTGATACCTATACTGTAATTTGGATTATCTGCCGATACTGATATTAATCCGATACCTTATTTTCTGCTCCAGCGTGCCACTTACACAATCCGATACCTTATTTTCTCCTCCAGCGTGCCACAAGTTACTGTTGCTGAGGCCATAGTGTTTCTGTCTATGACTTGTCGCACAAAGCTAAGTTGAACATTTGGGCCTAGGTATCGGATCAGACGGGCTACGCTTGTTTCATTCGATCCTGAAACTTTGTAGTATCAGATGTAGCCACTCCTTATTAACCTGTGGACCTAGCCTTCAACAGAACCAGGCTTAGTGCTGACACACAACCAAAAGAAGAGATTTCCACACACTGTACAAAATGAACTGACTCAAATGATCGTTCACTGCATTACAGGCCAATGTCAGAGTTCCACCATCCCACAACGATGGATTCTGCCCTTTTCCTCTTGTTTTTAATCACTGTATCTTTGCTTCGGTCTGGCTCAAAGCAGGGGAGGAGATCAGAGGGAGGCACAGAGATGCAGAAATGTTCTGGGTTTTAGGGCTTTTCTCTGAAACTTCCTCTAAACCTGTTAAGCCAAAGTCTGGGGGAAGAACTAAGAGTTCTGCCTTCAGAGATTCTCCTTGCTGTGTTTCCATAGTTACTCCGTCTTTCTCCCCCTCACATTTCTACCACTGGCTGGGTGAGGGAGACACGGGGAGACAACATAATGTGTGGCTGAGACAGTATGTGTGAGGAAAGTGAGCCCACACATCACGTCAAAGCCGCCTCTGTGCCCACGTCAGATGATCAACACGGCGTACGTGATTAAATAATGAATTCAAACAGATGTTTGGACAAAGTGGAAAATTGCAGTCCTTAATCACCGTGCTGATTATCAGATCAGTGGTTACAAGGAAGGTGGACAAATGTCTCATTCTAATGACAAAAATGTATGAAGTCAAATGCGATATATGGCGCTTTGGCCCAGAGACAATGTCTCTGTCATTGGTGTGGAACCCCAAGGTTCACCTCCTGGGCATGTTTGAATCCCAGTTAGGGCGGTTGGTACCTTCCAGTGGACTCACCACCAGCAGGAAGGTTGACGAGGGGCGACCCGGTAACAGATAAGCAGATGAAAATGGATGGATGGAAATGCTGCAGAATACTTTACTGAAAAAGAAATATATAAAAATGTTTCATTTGCTTGAAGTTGAAGTTCATCTATGAACAGGTGTGTAAAGTATTTGTTTTGAACAAAAATAACTGAGGGTCCCTGCTGCCACTTGACCTGGGGCCACATCAGGTATGGATCAAAACAAAATGCATTTCTTCTTTAGAAAAGGTAGAAAACAAAAGTTGAATCCTATAAATACTTACAGTACAATTAATGAAGGAGCAAACGAAACAGTTGAATAGAATATATTTTTTTTAAATTCATTATTATCATCACATTTAATTATAGGCCACATTTGAGGAGTGGGCGGGCCACAGGTGGCCCCCAGCCCGTAATTTGAAGCCTCTGGTGTAAAGGGGCTCTAATTAATGCCTTCCAAAATAAATTTAAAAAATGACTCCTCCAGTTCACCTCTACTACAGACTGAAGTATTTCCTGGAAATCTGAAGAGCTGTTCAAGGTAAATATGTGAAAGCCTAAACACAGTTTTTAAACAAACTGTGAAGGTTTGGAGGTAGTCATGGAGATAGAGAAAGTACGATCGGGTGAACTGACGTTAAACAGGGTAATTGTTAGTGGACCCAGATATAAGCAGTACCAATGGAGTTGTTTTTAGGTACTTCTGATCTTCTGACCACGACTGACTCAGTCTTGACTCCGTGTCACATTTAAACGTTCTGATCTGTATTGATAATAAAAATGAATGAATGGATTTAAAACATCTGCATCCTCCTTGTACATCTTCCTGTACCACAGACACACAGACCTTAACTTGAC